TTTGCATTTTGCAGGTCCCTTCAATGAAGAGGCCTCTAGAGGTTGGTATGGCCTGTGACGGTTTGTACTTTCTTTGTCCAAAGTGTCTAAGGAGCAGGTACTTGGGTTTTATAGTCATCAATTCACTTTCTTGCCTTGATAATAGGACTCATTGCACACACAATTCACCCTGTCCTGGTCATTCATCTGTACATAGCTCAATTTCCACAAATAAGTGTGTACCTTTCCCCTTTGTAAATAGTTCAAGTTCAAGTAATAAAAATCAAAGTTCTAATCTGAATTCTTGTGCATCCATTGGTTATGAGATGAATATTTTGTAGCATAATAGGCTAGGGCATGTACTCTTTGTCAAAATAAGAGGGATCTCCTCTATCCCTATCCCTTTCCCATCCAAACAACCTTTCATCTGTTCCATCTGTCCAATGGCTAGACAAGGAAGACTACCATTTTCCCAGAAAACCAATTTCACAACTGAAATTTTTCAATAACTCCACATAGACATATGGGGACCTTATCATGTGATAACACATGATAATTACAAATATTTTTTTACAATGGTAGATGACTACAGTAGGTGCACCTGGACCAATCTTCTAACTTGTAAAAGCAATACCCTACAAGTTATAAAAACCTTTGTTTCCATGGTTGAAACCCAATTAAATGCCAAAATCAAAAGTATCATATCTGATAATGGTTCAGAATTTGCCATTACAGAAGCAAGCTTATTTTTTCAATCCAAAGGCATCATCCATCAATGGAGCTGCCCCTACACACCACAACAAAAATGGCATATTAGAAAGAAAATATAAATATCTCCTAGAAACTACAAAGGCGCTCTTGTTTCAATCTAAATTGCTTGTAAAGTACTGGGTGAATGCATTCTGTGTGCAACTTATATCATAAATAGACTATGTTCTTCCCATAGTCACCCTAAATCCCTATTTGAATTACTTTACCAAAGAAAACCAACATACTTTCACATGAAGAGCTTTGGATGCCTGTGTTATCCTTCTGTGGTGCATAGGGACAAATTTGAACCTAGAACATCACCACACTTATTCATTTGTTAACACTATGAAGTTGGGGTACAAGGTCCTATGTTTTGCCACTAAAAAGATACATGTCTCCAGGGATGTTTTCTTCATTGAAAGTGTGTCTCCCTTCACTCTATCATCTGAAAACACATCTTTTCCTTGTATTTTTAATCCTACCCCTTTCATTGATCACACTCCTAAGAATGATAAACATCTCTTGTGATAGTGATGATGGCACAAGTTTTACACACAATCAACCTTTAGAGCATGATACTCCTTTAATACCTGTGAGATCCTCCAGGATAACTGAATTTTCCACCTCCTCGCCACAATCTAATACACCATAGTCTTCAAGCCCAAGAACATCACCAGTTGGGGATCAACCAGGCCCCATATCCATTACCTTAAGGAAATCACAAAGACCTCACAGAACACCATTATACTTACAAGACTATCTACACTCACTTCCAAAATTGAAATCATCATCACCTATTGCTCACAGTAGCTCAACTATACTATTCTCTCTCAATGCTTCATTTTCTAAAAGTCATTATGTCTCCCCCCGATGCTCTAAATCCCGAGAGCCAAAGTATTTTAAGAGACATTTGCAATAACAATGAGCATTCATCGTATGAGGAGGCAGCTATGAATCCTGCCTGGAAAATAGATATGAACGAAGAGTTTGTATTATTACATGTCAACCATACCTGGGACTTAGTGCCCTTACTTATTGGGAAGAAAACTATAGGGTATGAATGGGTGTATAAGATAAAACATAAAGCAGATGGGAGTGTAGAAAAACTCAAAGCTAGGCAGGTTGTGAAAGGATATACCCAACAAGAAGGCATTGATTACACAGAGACACTCTCCCCTATAGTCAAGATGACAATTGTGAGGTCTCTGATAGCTGTTGATGTGAAGAATGGGTGCATATATCCCAATTGGATGTAAATAATGCATTCCTAAATGTGGACCTAAATGAGGAAGTCTACATGGAGATTCCTTAGGGCCTGGCTGTAGATAGTTCAGAGTTGGTTTGCATGCTCATCAAATCCCTTTGTGGGCTGAAACAAGCCAGTAGGTCGCGGTATGCTAAGCTCACTGAAACCTTATGTTCAAGGGGTTATGCACACTCTATGTATGACTACTCTTTGTTTAACTAGAAAACTGAAAACTCAACTGTTTATATAGCAGTGTATGTAGATGACATTGTGGTGACAGGAACTGACATAATGGAGATTGAAGACATTAAGGTTTTTCTGAAAAACAGCTTCAAGATAAAAGATCTGGGTAGACTACACTACTTCCTAGGTTTAAAGGTTCTTTACAAAGATGATGGTGTGATAATATCTTAGAGGAAGTTCACCCTTGACTTGCTCAAAGAATATCAGTGCATGGATTACAGTAGCTTTACTTCACCACAAGATCCAACAGTCAAGCTCAAGGCAAAAGAAGGAGAGTCTCTGACTGATCCTACTTACTATTGGAAACTAGTGGGGAAGCTCAATTTCCTCACCAATACTAGATTGGACATAACTTATAGTGTATAAAATCTGAGCCAATTCATGGATGACCCCAGACAACCTCACTTGAAAGAAGCCTTTCATCTACTTAGATATTTGAAAGGAGATCCAACCCTAGAGATATTCATGCCTAGAGATACAGATTATACTATCAGGGCCTACTGTGATTCTGACTGGGCAGCATGCCCAGATTCCTAGAAATCTGTAAGTGGCTACCTTGTACAATTGGGGAGTAGTCCTGTTAGCTGGAAATCCAAGAAGCATGACACCATTTCATTGTCTTCTGCAGAAGCTAAATATAGAGCTCTAAGAAAGGTAGTGGGGGAATTGGTGTGGCTTAGTAGAATGTTTGAAGAACTTACAGTTCCTTTCCCCAAGCCCATTGCAATGCTCTATGAAAGCTAGTCTGCCATGCACATAACAAGGAACCCAGTATTCCTTGAAAGAACCAAACATATAGAGGTGGATTGTCACTTTGTGAGAAGTAAGCTACAAGAGGGGCTGATTTCACTGCATCATGTAGAAACTACATACCAGCTTGGAGATGTTCTAACCAAGGCACTAACACAAGGGAGTGTTTAATTAACAAAATTGTTAAAATTTCTTTTTACTTAATTATATATTTAAACTCCGTGCTTTTACATGGGGATTTGATTAATATTTTTTCTTTAATGGAACAAGAACATGAACCATTTTCTTTTTTGTAATGGATGATGAAGAGATCAAAATACTACTATTAATTTTTTTGTCTTTTGATTAGTCGCGAAGGTTTACTTAGGGGTTTTAAAATATAAAAAATAAAGATATGAAACGGCTCAGAGGATTTAACATATAGTCTATATACATAAAAATATTTACTGCGTTACACAGTTTAATCTTTTAGCAAAAGGATATCAATTGACACCTCTTAAGTACATGTGGCTCCGTTCTTGAATTTGATACCTTATTAGATGTATGTTATCACTTTAAAACTTTTTAAAAAATATTTACTGTTATTTACCTAATGAGACGTTCCATAAAATTTGTAGCTGCTTGGGTATGCTAGCATTTTATTCACGGATTGTCTCGGTTCGATCAACTGTTTCAGACTTTAACTTTGTCATTATATTGTCAAGTGGTGCTTGGATCATTCAATCCACTACATGAATAGTTAAGATTATTATTTTGATGACCTGAAATATTGACAATAGATGGCCGTTTTCTTTTCATATTATAAGCACCAATGAACAGAAAAATCAGGAAGAGTAAGTGGAGAGTAGGAAAAAGAATGGATGGATTTTTAGCCTTTGTCTCTGTGAAATTCGATTACTATTTTTTAATCTTGTACTGTGCTGACAGAAAAGATATGAAACAGCTTTATCGATCCATGGTAAAATCTCCTTTTTACTCTACTCTTTCATCTTACTATTCTGTAATCTTTCTCTCGTTTTCTACCAAAAGGACCTCCCATTTTAAACTACTTTCTGTTCCTTCCCTTTCATTTTCTTCACTGACAGAGGAATACCTGCACATTTCCTCACGCACGCACGCATACTCTAAACAGAACCCCCTACCTACAGCCAGAGCCCACTCCTCACAAGAATACAAAATAACTTTACTTATATGATTAGTACTCCATATTTTAATTGATTACTATAATTTATATAAATGTGATCAGATCTAATTGTTGAGTTTTACATTACTCCAAATTCTTTGACATGGACCATTCATATATATTATATAAACTCACTAAAATTTTAATATTAATTTTGAATGTCTAATGGTTTTAGAAAAAACTTTTAAATTTTGAACCCTCTAATTTTATTTTAGAATCCGTCTCAATTTATAAAAGACATTTCATTATAAACAACTACAGTTTGACTAAATAAAAGACACTTAATAAAGATTTCATTTTTATTTGCCGGAAAGATAAATCTATAACTAAGAAACATTTGTTATGAATCAATAAGTATCACACCTATTTCATATTTATTTACTGATCTCATGGGAGGATTATACTTACAATTTCCTATAAAATTAATTTTGATAAGTAAAAGAATATTTATTAAAATATTATTCCCTCTTCCACATTTATGTATGGAAGAGCTACATTTCGAGTGTAAAACTTCTTAATTTTAACTGTAATTTTGAACATAGAATCTTTAAATTTTTGAAATAAAATTTATATATTTAAAAATCACGTAAAATATACTGTAAGTGACAATAATTAACAATTTAAAAATCATAAAAAATCGAAAAGAAATAAAAACTCTTTCCACTCTCGAACTCACTTCATAGACGGAGGGAATAAGTAAATTAATATTACTACCTGTCACATTATAATGTTATCCGATTGTGTAAGATAGCTACACATTGTGATTGTACATAAGTTAAATTAAAATCTACAAAAAGGTTACATCATCCTCTCTTTCCCCTACCCATACCCTTGGGCTAGTTATCACAACTCACAAGCCTACTTAAAATGGCCTCTTTTTCCCTCTCTCATTTCTCTGTCTAGGCTTATCGATATGATAATAAGGGCCGTAGTAGAGTAGAGTACAGAGAGATGATCAGAGAGAAACAGAAGAAGGTACAGGGCAGTTGCACAGATTTTTCCAGCGACATCATCCACCCTTATGATTTCCCCCTAATCTTTCAGCAAATCCCATGAACAACCAGCCCCTCTATATTATAACCCCACTACTCATTTTCCATTTTCACAACGTCAACTTCTTCTAACAAATCTCAAACAACATGCTCTAGCTGTGTTCGTAGTTTCTTGTTGCATTTTCTTCTGTTAGCTAGTCATTAATTCCTCTTTTTCAATGGAGAACTACCAGCATTTCGACTGCAGTGATGGGAATTTACCCCCTGGTTTTAGGTTCCATCCAACTGATGAAGAACTCATCACCTACTACCTACTGAAGAAGGTTCTTGACGGCAACTTTACTGCTCGAGCAATTGCTGAAGTTGACCTCAACAAATGCGAGCCCTGGGAGCTGCCTGGTATACTAATTTGGCCACACCAAATAGTTTATTATCTGCAAATACTAATTAAGTTTAATATTTGCAAATAATGGTTGAGCCATCAGTATTTGCATATGACTGACTATAGTTGTATGTAAAACACTTGTGAAATGTTGAATTTTTTTTTAAAAACTATTTTTTCACTCGCAAAACTTTACTTTTTTGAGTTTATAGACACAACTTCTACGTTCAAATGTTTTTCTTCTTCTCAGTTTCATACAAAAGATCACACCTTCCCTCTTGGTCATGTTGAACTTTATGTCATCTTTTTCTACTCCATTTTTTTATTGCAGGGAAAGCCAAGATGGGAGAAAAAGAGTGGTACTTTTTCAGCCTACGTGATCGGAAGTATCCAACGGGGCTGAGAACTAACAGAGCTACTGAGGCTGGTTACTGGAAAGCTACAGGGAAAGACAGGGAGATTTACAGCTCAAAGACTTGTGCACTTGTGGGCATGAAGAAAACCCTAGTTTTCTACCGAGGTAGGGCTCCTAAAGGAGAGAAGAGCAACTGGGTTATGCATGAATATCGCCTTGATGGCAAATTTGCCTATCACTACATCTCAAGAAGTTCTAAGGTACTGCTATATAATGTGTTTTTTCAGAAATATATTTTTGGTGTCTTTAATTTGTTGGTGCTAGCACAGTAAGAGTGGTTAAGAAATAGATGTTCTCTATCTACAGCTTAGTGTTCTAAGAGTATGTATACAAATACAAATATGTCACTCATCAGAAATATCAAATTTGATGCATTTTAACTCACTCCTGCACAGTATGTTTAGTATTTTTGGATGCTCATACTTTTTGCGTAGAATAAGAGAAATTTACTGGACATATATTCTGTGCAGAAATATCATTGATATCACTGGTAAAAGACAGAGATTTGAAGCAGAAAGATCTATGAAACTTCGTTTTCGATGTCTCAGTTGCTCGCGTAATTTTACTGTAACTCAATGATGATAAAGTCAGAAGTCGTAATCCGAAAAATATAATCATAATAAAGGCTAAAGAAGAATTTGGCTTTATAATAATTGTCATGTTACGCTGATCGCGATATATATCCAGCTTATTTTAGTTGCCTTGTCATGTAGTAGCATGCAATGCTTACGTCGAATCAGTCCATTCGATTTTGACTTTTAACGTTATGACATTACTTTCTGTTTTACATCTATTTTTTCAATGTAATGATGAGCTTTTTACTCAAAATTTTCGATTTTCGTCTACAGGACGAGTGGGTAATTTCAAGGGTCTTTCAGAAGAATGGTTCCTCTGTCGGTGCCAATTCAAATGGTGGCAAGAAAAGGTTAAGTTCCAGTATCAACATGTATCAAGAAGTAAGTTCACCGTCCTCTGTTTCTCAGCTTCCACCGCTCCTTGATTCCTCTCCTTACAGCACCACTGCCACTTCTGCTGTCATTAATGCTGATCGTGAGAGCTTCAGAAAGGAGCACGTGCCCTGTTTCTCCACAACTGCTACGCACAGTTTCGACCCAAGTTCTGTCTTTAGCATTTCGTCGAACAGCCTGCATGCACTGCCACCTCCTAGTTTCAGTGCCATTCTTGACTCTTCCACTAATTTTGCCCACTACACAAGGAACTCAACTTTTCCCAGCTTAAGGTCACTCCATGAGAATCTGCAGCTTCCGTTATTTTCCAGTGGAGCTCCGGCCATGCACAGCGGTTTTCCTGCTCCAATGGACAACTGGCCGGTGCCGGAGACTCAGAAAGTTGAACAGTCTGAACTTGATTGCATGTGGAGTTACTGAAAGGATGTGTATTTGGTGTTTATTTAATTAATTTTGATGTTCTAATTAGTACTTTGATTAGTAAGTTAATTAGTTTTAATGTTCTGAAATGTTTCCTTTTGGTTGGGTAAGGAATGTACTGTGTGGCAGCTTTAGTAGCTAGTGTTGTCACGTTGTTGTAAACGTTCGGCGTAATTTAATGCATGTATTATTTGCTGTCTTTTCGTACGTTCTACATTTGAGGTCCAAATTGCTCAGAACTTCAGACTATCATTGAGAAGAGATAGTGACTATATTAATTGGATTTAACTTATCTTTTTGCTCCTATTACTTTTTCATTTTGGTCCTTTATCTTTCCACATAATGTTATTCAAAAAACTGTTTTTCGATGGTTAACGATAAATAATTTAAACAAAGAGCAAAGTAGAATCTTCATAACGTTCATAACGTAACTATGAACGGGTAAACAAAACCACACTGAGCTTACCTATATGGAGTAGCTCATAAACCTTTTGGTCCATCATGCATGTAATCATCTTTACCGAGTTTTTTTATTAATAATGTTTTCTCTTAATTATTTCATAATCTTTGCTCCTTCTATTATTATGTCTTTACAGTTAGTCCTTTTTGAAAATGTAGAACTATTTTTCATCCCCCCCCCCCCCCCCCCAAAACCCCCAATTTTTTTATTATATAGTATGAACAAATTATTCAGACAAAATACCTTAAAATTAGTAATAACCTTAAACTATTCGTGATCTTAATTACCCCTCAACTTGGCCTTTCGTAAGCTATATATTACACACCTGGACGCTGATGTGGCAAAGAGTGTGGGTGCACTCGCCTACCACGTAAATTTTTCCTGTATATGTGGCATTTTTTTGAAAAATAAAATATATTTTTACGCTTTTAAGTATGTTACTTTTTTTGATAATTTTTTTCGAATACAATTTATAATAAAATTTTGATAGAACTACATTATTTAGGCTAAATTTTTTTATTTGCCTAAAATAATAAAGTTTAGTTAATCGTTTTTTGAATTTGGCCTGAAAATAAAGATTTATACAATTAAAATAAATAACTCAACTATAAAGGATGCTATATATACAGAGATATATTTCAACTTTTTATTTCTTCTTTTGATGCAATGATTATTTATTTCAACTATGCATTTTTACTTTTTCAGGTAAAATCTGTAAAAAAAAATATTTTTAGAGCACAATAATTTAGAGCTTTATAAATAATTATAATTAATTTTTTAGCCTAAATAATTAATTTCAAACTATGTATTTTTATAACTTTTTAGATGCTTTGGCTATTTATTTCAATTGTATAAATCTTTATTTTCATGTCAAATTCAAAAAAAGATTAACTAAAACTTTATTATTTTTAGCCAAATAAATTTTTTTAGCCTAAATAATTAATTTCAAACTATGTATTTTTATAACTTTTTAGATGCTTTGGCTATTTATTTCAATTGTATAAATCTTTATTTTCATGTCAAATTCAAAAAAAGATTAACTAAAACTTTATTATTTTTAGCCAAATAAATTTTTTTAGCCTAAATAATGTAATTTTATCCAAAGAAGTAACATACTTAAAAAGTAAAAATATATTTTATTTTTCAAAAAAATGTCACATATACAGGAAAAATCCACGTGGCAGGTGCACCCACACTCTTTGCCACATCAGCGTCTAGGGGGGTAATGGCTCTCAAAAGGCTAAGTTGAGGAAAGTAATTTAGACCACGAATAGTTTAAGGCTGTAACTAATAATCTGTGTCAAGTTTAGGGGATTTTAAGGTATTTTGCCAACTATTTATAATCTTTCCACGATAGAATATTGTAAACTTGTTCAGATTACCTAGTTAGATATAGATGTTAGCGACGGGCTTGGAAAGTAAATGGCGTCAATTCTACTTTTCTATTTTTAAGAACTCTTGTCCAAAAACACAATTGATCTAGTACGTACCTCTTTCCCCAAACGAACACACAAAGACGAATTTTTTTTCTAAAACTCTAATCTACTGTATAAAACATCAGAAAGAAGTAACTCGAACGATTAAAGTATTATATTACATTCCATAATTGTTTTTCATCTTTATGATTCAAACATCACAAATGTTACGTTACGTTGTATCATGAAATAAAAATAGTACCCAAATTCATTGCGGTAACCATGAAATTTTAAAGACGCTTTCCGTGGTCATAGTAATCAGAACTGTATGCAAAAAATTTCGGAAGCGAAGTTGACATCGAAGTAGTGAACAAAAGAATAAATCCTACAATATCGTCCTATTTAGCAAACATAATATCATATTAATAAAGCATAATTCTTATTACTACAAGCCACCTCAATAAATTTCAGTTTTTAAAGTGTGTTCATAATTGCCTCGTTAAAGTTAAGCTAAATAACAATTTGGTGATACAAGGCACCAAAGGATTTTTAGGCTGAGTGGTTCAGTTAACACCCAGTCTATAAGACGACACAAGTTAGGCTAAGATTTGTTAATTGTGAAATAGTTTCATTTATTGTTTTATTTTAATTATTACTGTATTTAACTAAATAATTCGACGTAATAGTGCCCATTAGCACTGCATGATGGTTCTCCGCAACGTGAATATCCAAATTGAGATGAATGGAATTATGAAGAAAATGAAACCAATGTTCTATACTCTGCCAGTGTACAAGTCCCGGCAGTTCGGTAAAATACTTAAAACCATAACAACCTAACCTTTTGGGGGCGAAATGAGTGTTCAGTGCATATCATTTCATAAATAATCCAAAGGAAAAAGATGAACTTTTACTTTGGCATACATTCGTTATTAGTACGTCCAATCTCCTGTTTCTTTTAGTCTGGTTAATATTTTCGGGTGGTTTGGCAAGGTGTATTAATAATGCAAAGATTAGCAATGCAAATATTAGTTATGTAGAGATTATTCTTATCAACTACATAGTGTGGTATACTAAAAGTTAAAATGCATTGCATAATTTTTAAGAAAATTAGTTGTTTACAAAAATGCTTTATATATTCTTTAGCTTTATGGATTCTAAGGATAATTTTGGCTTTAACCATGCTAATGCATGCACTAAGGGGTTGTTTGGTTGGAATACGATTTATACCGGTATAAGTTATGCCGGTATAAGTTATATTGGGATAAGTTATGTTGTGATTAGTTATGTTGTGATTTTGTTTATTCATTGTTTGGTATGTTGTATTAAGAATGACAATTGCATAATTTCTAAGAAGAAGGTATAAGTTATACCGGTGCTAATTACCCCACCTTTTATAAGGTATAAGTTATCAGAATATTAAAATTAACATCAGCATAACTTATACCTGGTTTGCTAACCAAACGAAGTATTAAGGTGGTATTAAATTTTTATACCACCCTTATACCTTCTAATACTTCATACCAAACGACCCCTAATAGTTTTGGTATTGTTAATACCGTGGTTTGCTATATACTATTAATTATACATAGGATAATAACAAATAAGTTTTATAACTAATACTTGCATTAGTTATACCCTTAGGTTGGAGTTTGTAATTTATGTTTTTTTTTTTCTTCAAACAATAGTAGTTTCGTGATTGAAATGACATTTTTTACCCTTCACGTTGGAGTTTGTGAAAAAAGAAAGGCAAGATATGATTATACGCATGGATTGTAGCGTAGGTGAGGAAATAAGGGAAGGCGAAAGTCAATACACAAAAAGGTAAGGCTAGGATTTGCCTTAGGTAGGAAACTTATAATCATGAATGGGGATCTCCATTCAGTGCTCTGTTCGTTTGTTCTTGTCAATACGTGACCTTTCAAAGTTTCCCTCTTGTTTTAAGTGGGATATACTACATAAAATGTTACTTTCCCTATTTCATTTTATGTGTTGGTTTTTTTTAATCGATTTTAATAAGAATAAGAAGTAATATTTTTTATTTTAAAGATAATTTAATTTTAAATTTGTGGTTTTCTAATAATCATACAAATGTATGACATGCTTGAAATTACGAGTTTCAAAAAAATTTCCTTCCATCTTAAATTTCATATTTAATAAAAAAAAAACATAAAATACAATTAATAGTTATGTTGGGATAGATGTGATCCCTTCATCCTAATTATAGAGCCCGTTTGGACATAAAATTTTTTTTACTTTTTTCTAAATCATCTTTTGGTCATAAAATTTTTAATTTTCACTTGATGATGCATTTTGGAATTTTTCGAAAATTTAAAAAACTCCAAAAAGCTAGTTTTCAAAATTTTAACTCAGATCACTCACAAAACTTCAAAAATAATCCAAAATTATATTTATGTTCAAACACAACTCTAATTTTCAAATACGTTTTCACTTGAAAAGAAAGTTCACTCTTTTTTTGAATTTTATGATTCTTATGTCCAAACTAAGGGCGGCCCAAGGGTCAAGCCACTAAAGCAAAAGCTTTAGGCTCCCAAATTTTGAGGGCCCCAAATTTTTCTTTTCGTTTTCTACTCGTATTTGTATTGAGATCCCGACTAATCTAGATTCGTACCGCGTAAGGCCTAGTAAAAGAAAGAACACATTTTAACAGAATTTATTATAACCACAGGACTTGAACCCAATATATCTAATTAAGGTAAGTTGGATCATATCTATCTCACAATAATCTTTAGAGGTAGGGTCTAAATATATTGGGTATGTTAAAATAAAAATAAAAAGTATTTTATAAAAAGTAAAGATAACTTTTAATTTAGTATTGATGTAACCGTTTAAGCAAAAATTAGAGAAAGAGAATCACTCCCCCTAAACCCTTATCGTGAATATAAAACTTTTTACTATTTAAATTTTACGATTCACATCATTAGTGAGGTACCTATATTATTATTCTCCTTTTATATTTCTCACTAAAAACGTGTAATAAACTTTTAGAATCCATTTTTTGGTATCTTCAATAGTCCAAGTCTTATTTTTTATCTTTCTCATCAGAAAACGGGTACTACATTCTTATATTTTTTTCTTAGTTTCTATAAAAAAGCTTAAGTTCTCAATAAGTTATATTGTTCTATGTAGAAAAGAGTTTTATTTTTTCTATAAAAACAAGAGTTGAAGACTACCGTTGAATAAAATTATATTGCGCATTCTTTTTTTCCTTTTTTCCTCCTTCAGGTTTCAAGCGTTTCAACAAGTATATTAGAACATCAAAAATTATTTCGATATCAAATTATAAATTATACACTGGATATACATTTNNCTGGATATACA